ACCTTCTCTGTTTGTTCTCCAGCCACCGTACACAGTCCTCCATGTAGTCCCTGACTAGCAGGGTGATTTTTAGGTTAATTCTTAGGTCCTACCACCACTCCAGTATCTCCAGGCAGTCTGTGCCATCAGGATTGCTCAGGATTGCTGCCAGACCGCAGCTCCGTCTGTCTCCTTTTTTGGTATTTTCACTCAAATTCTTCTGCTCATTGGGGTTTAGTCCACTTCTATATCCTTCCCTTCAAGGCTCAGGGGTCTAGGATTATCTTCTGTGTCTGTGTTAATTGGTTTCCCTTTTCTTTTTTGAAGAGGGTCTGTGCAGTCTTTCTGCCTAGTCCGCCATCTTGCCAGATCTCTCTGTTCTGTATTCTTCGTGCTTTTGCTTCTTTTTGCCCCTCGGACTGCTTAATCTCAGTTGCCCTGTATCATGTTTACTAATTCTTTCTTCTGCCAATTCTACTTTTGTGTTCCTGCAGAGATTTTCATTTTTGTTAGTGTAATTTTCAACTCCAGTATTTCTACTAGTTTAGTTCTTAAAATTTGTCTCTTTATTGAACTTCTTTATTATTCTCATATCATTTTCCTGATTTCTCTTAACTCTTTTTCCATGTTTTCCTTTGAGCATGCTTGCTACTGTTGCTTGGACATCTTTGTCCATTATCTCTTCTTTTTCAGGGACACTTTCTGTACCCCTGTTTGTCTTTTTTTGGGGTCAGCCATTCCTGCCTCTTCATGAGCTTTGTGATTGCTTGTTATACCAAGGACACTAAAATATTTTACTGTGATAATTGTGGAGATTGGATTCTTCCCCTACTCTAGAGTTTGGTCTTCTTTCTCTTTATTATTATTATTTTAATTTATTGAAGGCTGTGATTCTCTGCTTTAACTCTTGACTCCCTATCTAGGTGCTTATGTTAATTGTCCTTTCCTTATTGATCTCCTTGTCTGTGAATGCCAGCCATTATTTCTTCTCTGCAGGTTCCCTGATTGAGTGTGCTGGCAGTGCTACTGCAGCATCATACTCTGTGGCTTATATAACATGGCATAGTTATCTTACTTGCAGATACTGAGGATGTTGACCCTGTTACTTTGGGACCAGATCCCTTCTAACCCAGGGTCTCTGGCTATGACCCTGTAATGCCTGCACCCTCCCTCCATTCCCCTACTTTGGGTTACTGACTGACTCTCTGATTCCTCACCACATATTTCCTTCTCCCTCTAGTCATACTGGCCTTGCAACTCTGTCTCAGACTTTCCCCCAGGAACTGCAGCTATCGCACACTCGCCAAAAATCTCTCCTCCAAGGGCTGTTGGCTATACAGCACCAACCTCAGAGTCTCATCTCAAAAGTGGCAACTGAATTTGCTCTGTAAACTTTCACCCAAATCACAATTAAACAAACAAACAAAAAAAAGTGACAACTGTTGCCAATTTGCTACCTGCCCTCAATCTTCAGGAACTCAGGCCTGGCTATACTCACCATGTTCCTCTTTACCGGTACTCAGGGGATCTTGGTTTGCACTGTGCTTTCCATATTAGCCTTTCCCAGGTCTGCGTGTTCAAGCATCTAAGTCATGTTGTGTTCACCATGTCTCTCTGCCCCAAGCCTTACTTCTCATAAAATTCCAGGCCACACTCTGTTTTTTGTGTTGCTCCTTTCTGACTCATGGGGATTCCAGTCTGTTTTGTGCGTGCTATGCTGTTTTTTCCCAGGTCTGCCTGCTTGGGGGTTCCAGCCTGCTCTCTGGTCCTGGACTCTCTGCCTTCCGTATTTCACTGCTCAGGTGCCATCCACACTGTCTGGCCCAGAACTTATTACTCAGTACCTCCAACTCATCTGTGTCCTCCATGGTGCTCCAACCCTGTGCTCCTTGCCCAAGGGCGCCTCCTGCAACCGCCCCAGGATGACTGAGCTACGATGGGGAGTAAGTTGAGGACGCTTGGTGAACCTCTGCTCTTCGGCTGTCTATCTGCTATCTTTTTCTTCATTTGATGTCCCAACCCTTTAACTGATGTTCAGAGTACTGAGATTATCAAGTCATCATTTTTGTCTTGTTTTCTTCTAGAATTGTTGTTAGCGGGTAGGAGTGAGTGACTGCTTATGCCACTGTCATTCTCCCTGCACTTCTGGCTTCTTTTAAGTTTTTTTCTGTCTCAGATTTTCAGTTTTTCTATGAGACATCATATGTGGACAGATATGTGGAATTTTTTCCCCCTTTTTAGTAGATCTTCAGTCTATGGTTTGATTTCTTTAAAAATTAATTTTCGAAGTTTTCAGCCCTTATCTCTTCAAATGCTTCTTTTTCTTCTATCTTTTTTGGGATTCAGATTACAGGTAGTCTCCCACCCATGTTCTTAACACTAATTTTTCTATAGTTCTTCTAATTCTCTCATAGTTTTTTTAAGTCTTAATATTTCTATAGTTTAGTTTTTGTAGAAAAAAAATAGAAGTATTAAAACTTAAAAAACAAACAAAAAACACCTATGAGAGAATTAGAAGAAATACAGAGAAGCTAGTGTTAAGAACATGGGTGAGAGACTTTTTTCCCACAGGAATAGCTCATTAAAAAAAAAAAAAAAAAAATCTTTAAACTATCCTGCCAGTATTATCTTTTTGCCATTTTTATAGATGTTACTCAGAGAGGCTACTTAATTTTCCCAAGTTAGCATAACTACCAAGCAGCCATTTAACTTAGTTAAATTTGAACTAATGTCCAATTGATTCAGTATTTCTTGTTCTTCATTATATGAGGTTCTATTCACTTTTTTCTGTCAGTTTATCTTTCTCACTTGATTTTTAGAGGGTAGAGCTTATTCAAAATGGTGTGTCTGTTGATGAATCATATCAATCTGTCTTAAAGTTGACATTCTTCCATTCTACCCGTGTTAGTGTGTTTATACAAGTGCACAAACTTACTAGCCAAATATTGTCTCTTTGAGGAGTTTATTTCTAGAAGGAAGAAAGAATGTACACAGTTTATTCTAATAGAAGATGGGAAGAAATGGTTTGTATGGATAGGAACAAATAAGCAGGTAATGTCCCAGCTGTTGAGAAGAAGAGAGAGAATTAATGGAGCAGGTAGAATTTATCATGGAAGAGATGGAAGTGTGAGAACTCTTTATTAATGGTAACATGTATATTATACATTTGTTTGTTAATATAAATGAGGTAACTGAGTACTAGTTTTTTGTTTTATGTTTTTTTCCCCAACAAGTCTATTTGTACTATCTTTAATTGTAATTGTCAGTAGTTGGGTAATGCATCAAGTAAGCAGTGAAATTTTGTCATGTTACTTCACACACAGTGATTGAAAATATTCTCACCTCCCCCCAGGTTATTTCATTCCTGGCTGCAGTTTTGCATAAAAAAGGAACTCGGGAGGATATTGAAAATAACATGCCAGAGTTTTTACTAAGAAGTATGAAAAAGGAAGGCCCATCTTGTACAGCAAAAAAGGTAAAATAGAAATATTCATGTAACTGGTATTGCAAAAGCATATAGAAACTTTTAAACATTCTATCCTATAGTATAGAGGCTCTGGTAGCATAGTGCCTAAGGCATTTGACTGTTAACCAGAAGACCAGCAGTTCAAACCCACCAGCCACTCCTTGGAAGAAAGGTTGGGCAATCTACTTCCGTAGTGATACCATCTGAAGGAGGGGTCTCTATGAGTTGAGTCCAACTTGACAGCAGTGAGTTACCCTATAGTATGATTTTTAGAACATAAAACTTTAAAGAAATTATTAAAATAGAATAATAGACTCAGCCTTTGCAGTTGATTTCTAGTTTTGTTGCACTGAATAATACACCTTTGATATTGTCTATGTGACCAAGTCCATGGTCAAGTATTTTTAACATTCTGATGTTGTGTAGTCTCTGTTATTGTAAAATGTGCTGATGCTATGCATTTTTTATTTTATGGCTACAGAGAGTTCTATATATTTCTGTTTAAGCAAGCTCATTAATTACATTGTTAAAATTTTTGTCATTAGTATGATTTTTTTTTGATCTACTTGAAATACTTTGAGCAATTGAATCTTGAGATATTAAATTCTTGTGCTGTGACTTTGCATCTTCATTGCCCCTTGTGTTTAGACTAGTGTTTGCTTTGCTCAACATCTTCAGTTAATTCTTGCTTTGTAAATTTTGTGTGCTTTTATACTGCTTTCATACTTAGTGGATTATTATATCTGAGTATAGAATTCTAAATTAGAAATTCATGAAAATAATTTTATTAACTTATTTTCTTCATGCTGTATTATAGATAGTGATCTTGTGCCAATTCTCCCTTTTTTTAATTGGAAAAGAGTTTTGTTGTTGTTGTTTGGAAGTGCTTAGGATTTTGCTTTATCCTGAAATTCATAAATTTCCTCTGGCTCAACATTCACTCTAGAATTCTTCCACATAAGTTCTCTAGCTTTAGGAAAATGCACTCCCTGCTTTGTGAAGAGAGGAGGGTCTAATGCTAGAATGAGCCTCTCTGAAACAGATCACTGGTAAAACTGTTCTCTCTTTAATTAATTATTGTCAGTACTTTTCCTGACTCAGTTCTGCTTATAGCTCTAGCCGACTCTGCACAGTTTATTTATTTATTTATTTTGGTCATTGTTTTCTTTTTTAAGTTTTAGTCTAAGAAAACACCCCCCCCTTTTTTTTTTTTCTTTTTTGGATGTTCTCTCCAAAGGTAAGGTGTCCCAGGGTAGCATAATTACTCAATTACTAACCAAAAGGCTGGCAGTTCAAAAGCCAAACCCACCCAGAGGCACCTGGAAGAAAGGCCTGGTGATCTGCGTCTGAACGGTGACAGCCATGAAATCCCTACAGAGTGCAGTTTTACTCTGCATACATGGGATCACTGTAAATTGGAATCATCTCCACAGCAGCTGGTTTTGGTTTTGGCTCCAAACTTAAAGGATGGATTTCTCAGATCTTCAGGAATGTCATTTCTCATCTACTTTCCCACTGTTCTGATTTGGGAGCACCCTTCCAGGCATCGGAGCACTTTCGTAGATCTATTTTTATATTTTTTCTTTTGTCTCATTGGAATCTATAAATACAGGTGCTCTGTAGTTATTTGAACTGGAATTCTGGAGAGAAATTTTTTTTTTTTAAATTGTGATTTGGGTGAATATTTACAAAGCAAATTTACTTTCCATACAGCAGTTCACATATACTTTGTCTCATGACATTGACCACAATTTACCACACTGCAACATCTCCCCTCATACTTCCTCCCGATAGTTACCTCTTCCCTGTGTCCATCCCTCCATGCACTCCTGCCCCCTGAGCCGTCTCCTGTGCATAAGCAGCCCTTCTTTCTCCCATGATTGTTCTCTCCAAGGAGTATATCTACCTGAGGTAAATGTTCAACTCA